AACGATATTTTTTTATTAACGAACATGATTACGCGCGTGCGTGTGTGCGTGTGTTACTATACTGTTATTATTTCGAAAATTATAGACGAATAAAACAAAAAAAAAAAAAAAAAAAAAAAAAACCGCCTGTGAAACACCCGTACGATACACAATGACACGCTCTACTAAATTGAAAAAGTTTATTACGATAATAATTCGAAAAAAAAAAAAAATACGACCTATTGAACTCAAAGATGAAAAATATAGATTATAAGTTTGAAAAAAATTTTTTTATATATATTTATGAAATGATGCATGTGATGTAAATTGATTCTCAAAACTAGACTGACAACAACAATTTATTTGTAACAAAATAAATAAATAAAACGATAAATTGAATCGTCAACTTAAACATTTGTTGTTGTTGTTGTTATTAAATGACATTGATTTAAATTTTTTACTTTTATATAAACATAAAAATCATTATCGGTCATAATAGCTTTGTATTTGCAAATAATAATAATCTCGGTTGTTGAATGATAAACAACAACAACAACAACAAAAAAGAGCATTTGGTAACAAACAATGTAAAATTAGAAATCAATTAACGTCTAATTATTGAACTCAAATGAATTTTTTCTTCACAATCGAAAAAGAAAGTTAATTAATAATAATAATAACTCATATTTTTTTTTTTTTTTCAAAGCCTTTTCTTTAAAAAATGGTTTTTATCACACACACAAAAAAAAACCAAATCTGGCAAAAACCCGAACAACAACAACAACAACAACAAAAAAGTAACTTTAAGGTCAAATCCTTGATTTTTCCTTCGTGATCACAGTATAAAAGTGTGTCCACGTTTTAAAATTGGACGAATGATTTAATTACGAATTTTTTTTTTTTTGCTTTTGCATTTGCACACAGAGAAAAAGCATAAATAATAATAATAATAATAATACTTTGTAATAAATTCGCCTTTATTACAAAGCACACCTGACAAAGACCTTGACTGACTGGGCAAAACAACCTAATCGAAAAAAAAAAAAAAAAAAAAATGTTAACTGATGACAATAAATTTACAAAGATAAAACATGATTCAATAAATAATAAAATGCAAACAAACGCAGAAATATGTACGAATGTCCCCCCCCTCTCCCCTCGTTGTGGACAACAAACTTAAAACAAATATTGACCACTTTGAACAATTACAAACCCCAGCAGAATCAAACAAAAAAAAAAAAAGTAATCGTTAATTAACAACCATTACACTTAATACCATTTAAACTCATTAATTAATAATAAATAATAATAATAATTAAATATAATAAATTAAAATTAAACAGACAAAAACATTTTTCCCACTCTGTGGAATGGAACACCTCATCATCTTATAAGTGGGTCAACACAAAAAATATTTGAACATAATTATTTAAACTCACACAAATTATTTATATATATGTAAAATATTATTATTATTATTATTATTATCATTACGACTACAATATTCTATATAATAAACCCAAACTTTATATTATTACGCAACCATAACCAAAACAAAAAAAAAAAAAAATCCTGTGCCTGAACAAATTCAATCAATAAATAATCAATATACATACATAGGGAGCGTTAATTAAATTTGAAAACCTAATCAACTTCGAATTTCCCCCCTTCCCCTCCTCTCCCTCCTTTTGTTTTCGAAAACAACCACAACCAAAACAAACGAACAAACAAACGAAGGAAAAAACCTTTTACGATTTAAAGACACTTACCAAATATCGACCAACGTTTTTATATCTAGTCCATCCAATAATAATAAATTACTCGAACATTCCATTGATATTCCACTTTCGGGTGAAGAAGACATTTTTTTTTGTTTTTTTTTTTTTTTTAAACTATTATTATTATTATTATTTTTTTGTTAACCTATCGCTGACCGTTAATAAAATAAAAAAAAAAAAAGTCTTTTTCACATGCAAATCAAACACTATCTGTTATAACACGTCCTTGACAATATGTTTCAATTAAAAGCGTTTAAAAAATAAATTAATTAATTTTTTAATAAACACATAATAATAATAATTTTTTCAAACAACCAACCCATGCAATCGATGATAATAACCGAAAGTAAAAATAATAATAATAATAATAATAAATTTTTTGCCTTATTAAAAATTCATGATTAATAATATAGATTTGATATGTATATATATCACACACACACACACACACACACACACACACACTCGTGCCACGACGTTATGATTTCAACGTATCGTATATTTATTAAAACAAAGGATTAACGACCTGTGAATAATAATAATAATAATAACAACTTCTTTTTTATTTTTATTACGTATTATTATTATTATTATTAAAGAATTATTGAAACCCCGTACTCGCACTCCGTACAACTGCCTCAAAACAATAACAATAATAATAATAATAATAAAATAAAGAAAGAAACAGTGAAAGCTGATATGTCTATCATTATGCCATTGTGACGTCGTCGCTACTACTACTACTTATTTCTTCATTTAATAATAAAGCCTAACCCGAGTCTTTGTCGTCGTGGCTGTAGAATAATTAAAGTCCGCCAATGTTTTTTTTTTTGTTTATATCAAACGATATATTCTTAACATTTTCCCTACGTCCTGCATCCTACGTAATATTTATTATTATTATTTTTTTTTAAACATTTTCAAACGTATTATTAAACGAAAAAAAAACGCCATATTTAAATAATTCTCAATAAAAACCGACCGTTTTAAAAAATTAAAATTATCATTACTAACATTTTCTCTAAAAATAAATTAATTTTTTCATTTGTTTGCGAATAAAGCGAATGATACGTTTATATTTATAGAATTAAAAAATTTAGTAATATTAACACCTACAAAAAATTTATTTTAGCTTTTTTTTGAACTGTTAGAAATAATAAAAAAAAAAAATTTCTCTTTTGAATAAAATGTAAACCACAAACATTTTCCCTACTTTTTTCTTTTTTTTTTTTTTTTTAGAAAATTGACTTCGTTGAATTCATTTAATAAAATTATTTATTCAGATATATAAATAAGTGAATGGGAATTAATTAATTAATTATGGCTATCTGGTTCGTTTAAAAATTTGACTTGAAGCAATGTGTAAAATTTTACATTGCACTACGTCATTCTATAAAAAAAAAAAAATATAAAAAATTCTAACCTACTTGTAAATATTGTCTGAGTATAAAACTACCTACTACCTAGTATATGCTACCTCCAAGGCAACAAATTAAATAAAAGTCAAAAAAAAAAAATTTTTTTTTTACTTGACTAAATCTAGATTTACAACATCTCCCCTTTATTACTACTAAAAAAAATTTAAATAAAAACGATAATTTACCCAAATCAATTATACCTCGTGACTAAGATAATAATGATGATGATGATGATGGTAATGATTGATGATGAATTGGTATTTGGAATAATTGTATGTACATTTTTTGTTCCAACATGATTCAACATTTAAATTCAAACTCACCAGAAACTAAAGCGTTTTTTTTTTTTTGAAAATTTACATTCATTCCCAACGACAACCACAACAAAATTTTTATGAAAATAGGTTCAACAGGTATACTAATTACAAATGCAAAACAACAACATTCTACTGTAAATTACAAAAGGCAAAACTACAACAGACACTATGAGACAAATTTCATACCTTAAAATATAAATAATAATTTTTTTTTTTTTTTTTTTAAATCTTTTACTCTGCTGGCTTTTACAAATTATTATTTTATTTTAAGGAAAAAGCTAATTTTGTTTAAATTTGTTAATTTAGACTCTCAGCACGTGACTTGAACTAAAAACAACAAAAAAAAAAAAAATTTTTTTAAGTTAATTAAATAGAAAATATTCAACTAATTAACAACAACAACAACAACAACAAGTTAGAAATGTTTTTTTTTTTTAAGGGGAGAGTTAAGTAAAACATTGGACAAACCAACAAACAAATTTAAATAAAAACACAAAAAACAAAGTTTGTTTTGACAATTACATAAATATTAAGACAAAAAAAAAAAATACATTTAAGAGCGTGTGTGCGTTAAAATAACAATTGTTAACCATAAGCGATCATTAAAAATAATAATGTTTTCCAAATGTGTTTTACAATTGAACACAAACAATACAATTTCCCCTCCTTTCTCCCCAACAAAAGTCCGTCGTATCCCATCAAAAAAATAGCACTACAAAATAAGAAAATGTGTGATTGATATTGTGTTATTAAAATTCTGACAAAAAAATACAAAAAAAAAAAAAAAAAAAACAAATAACTACAACAACAACAACAACAAAAGAAATCTCTCAACTACAAACATTTACAAATTTTTCTACCTACAGACCTATTGGCCTACCTTCGAACCTCCTGACAATCGGCAACACTCATTGATACGATTTTGCTATCATCCATCATCTGAGAGCTTAAAAAGAAGAAAAAAAGGTAAAATGTATAAATAATGTTTAAAAATAAGAAATAAAGGCTTTTCCGCGTGTGTGCGTGCGTGTGAGTGTGTTTGTGCTACAAGTTGTTTACTTATCCAAAGATCAGAGGATCAAGGAACTTTTATAATAAAAAAAAAAAAAAAAATGTAGATGTGAATGTTAAAAACCTGCATTCTCACCTTAAATAAATATCACACAATTATTTAATTTCGATTGCCCTTTTCATAAATAATAATAAAAAGTTAAATAAATTATTTGTTTTTTTTTACCATTCCAATAATAATAATAGTTAATAATATTTCAAATCAAATCAACAATACAAAACAACAAAATTATACCTTTCACGGTAGTAGTAGTAGTAGTAGTAGTACGTCACGTGATAAATTAGCATTATTATTATTATTCGTTTGAACAAGTATACAATAATGTAACGATTGCCTCCAAACATTTAACATCAATTATACCGTACCGTATTGGTTTAAATAAAGTAGAGAGAGAGAGAGAGAGAGAGAGAGAGAGAGAGTCAACCTGGATCTGGAATCAAGGTTGGATCAACCTTGATCGCAGTAGGGAATCGCAATCCTGGAAACTGGACAACAACACGTCCAGTTTTTTTTTTTTTTTTTTGGGTCAACATCGTTTTTTTAAATAGTTATTTATATACTTACATACCTGAAAATCTTTTCCTTAACTTTTCCAACGACGGTTTTCCTCACGTTATTATCTTTGTTGTTTAAATCCATGTTCACGAGAACTTTTGCCAATCGTAAATCTTCTTCATTCATTATGACGAGAATACTCCTTGGGAAACCTTAAACAGTTTTATGGAGAAAAAAAATTAGAAAAAAAACCAATAATAATAATAATAATAATAATTTAGTCGAATGATAAAGTTAATAGGAAAGAAAGGCACGACGTGAACTTTCGTATCACAGAGCAAAGATACTCTCAAGGTTTTGTTTGAAAGAAAACCAGGTACCAAGGTGCTTCCTTTATTTTTAATTTACGTTTAGGTACTAGTAGACTTATCATTTGTTTATTTAAATTATTTGAAGGCGAGAAAATTAATAAATTCGTGCCTTTTCCTTTTTAATTCAATTCCTTTCCGGTATTTAAAATCGTTTTGAATTATCGATTATATATATGTAGTAAATTTTAATAAATGTAATTTTTTATCGAATACTTAATTTTTAAAAGTAAAACAAATTTAAATTTAAAATTTTTAATTTTAAACGAGTACATTCACATTTGTCACAATATTTTATCGAAATTATCTTTTTTTTTTTTTTTTTGTTAAAAGAAAATTTACAATGAGTTTGTCGTAGAACAAATAACTTTTAAACAAATGGTAATTCTTTTTTTGTTTATTAGCATAGAAAAGCTAAAATTTACTTTGCTTACAAATTTTGTCACATCTTTTTATGCGAAATAATTACAGCTTTCTTCTGGTTATAAACTTATTAATGAAATTTTTTTTCAAAGTCGAATTAAAACAATAACAAATTTATTATCTACTAAGATTACACACAATTAAATAAAATATTATTTTAAAAATTATATATCTTAAAAGGGTAGAGAATAATTTGATTTTACAAAAAAATTTCTTCAAAAGGTTTTATTACACTAAAACAACCGATTACCATTTGACTTTTTTCTGCATTGAAATCGGTTGTTCGTATTTATGATTTTAAACTTAAATTCAGTTTAAAAAGTTTCAATTTTTTTTTTTGAAATTGCTTTACTTCAATGAAATAAATGAAAAATCAACTCAGATATATATCATTAACATAAAAATATTATTATGATGTAAAAATTATAAATGTCGAACAGTTGTATGAATAATTTTTTGTTTCATTTTAAATAAATTCTTATGTAAAAGACCTATAGACATTTTACTATAACTGATTTCTAAATTGTTAGTGGGTTTGTAAAAAATGAAAATTTTATCACACAAAATTAAACACTTGACAATTAAGAATAAGAAAATAATAATGATAAATATATAAATGTGTGTATAATATAAATTATAATAAATTAAAATTTGTTTCAAAAGCATCACTGTCTTGAAAGGATTATTTTAAAAAGTAAGTCATTAATGATTAAGAGAGAGACAGAAAAAAACTTTTCACATATTAATATTACATAAAAAAAAATATACATGAAACGTTATATAAATTTAAAAAATAAGTAAATATATATAAGTACTAACCTTACAATATAAAAAATCAAAAAAAAACCGTATGATAACACAGCAATGACAAAATTTTCATTTAGGAATGTACAAATTTCCTGACAACTATTTCGATACTTAACATGAAGTAATACTGTGTTGTATGATAAATACTTAAATAATACTTTGAGTTTGACTTTAGTATTTTTTATAATTAATAAATAAAATAAATTAATATAAATTAGCACGTATTCAATTCGGTGAAACAGTCTTGCGCATTATGTGAAAAAAAAACGGTTTATTGTTCGTTTTAAATCTTAATTTTAACATGGCGAATAAATTGTTTCACCATCTCTCCACCAGAGATCACTGTTAACTAAAATTAAAAAAATTCGCGGTACTATGATAAGATTTGAAAATTTCACAAATCATCAAATCATCTCTAAGAAATATATATTGAAATAATAAAAATTTTTTTATTCAATCACGAATAATTTAATTGTATTTAAAATCTCAATATTTACATTTGATTTTTGAAAATAAATTTATATAAAAATCTATTTTTAGTCTTACCCCAGGAGACATTGATCCAACATCATTACCTCACCGCCATTTTAATATGTTAATAAAACTGACTAATTCCACGTTTTTAAAATTGCTGTAACAGCAAATTTTTTTTAATTTTACCCAAAAAAAAAAAAAAAAAAAAAAACGAGTTTAAAGTTATGATTGTGTAATGAAATATTCTGTAAAGTAATGTGTTTTTTCTAAATTATGAATTCCCAGGTATTAAAAATTTACCAATAAGCGAAAATTTAATTTATTAATCATTTTTTTAAATATTTTCATACTACAGAATTACAATACTGGTTATTATTTTTTTTTAATAAAAAATTTTTTTTAATTATTCTTGATTCCTGATGAGCGGAAATTTCGATAAAAATGAAATCAGCCTTTTTTTTTATAACTTTGATTCTTGTATTTCAATGTAATTTAATTGAAAGTCGTATTAACGAAGATTTTGAGGATAATGAATTCGCAGAATTTGAAGATTTTGATGAGGATGAATTGGCCAGTGAAATTAAAAATAAAGGTAATTTAGAAGTTTTGCACAATTCTAAAGGAAAACTGGTCGTAGAAGAAGATGATGATGATGATATGGTTTTGGAGGATGAAATTGAAAATGATGATGATTCTGTTGTAGAGGTATTTATTATTTTCCCAAAGATTCAATCCCCAAGCACTGTATTTCCTTTAACATAATGTCTGATTAGTCAATTGGAATGAGATTTATCTATTAATTTTTAGGATGAAGATAATGAATTTGATCATTTCAGTGATGAAGAAGAATTTGAAGGTTTCGATACTGGTACTACCAAACCAGAAAAGAAAGAAGCTCCTAGAATAACAATAACTCAGGTTGATAAATTTTTTATTACACATAAACATCATAATATTTTTACAATAAATTATATATAGGTCCATATTTATTAGAAATTGCCCTGATACTTTTTTTTTTTTTTTTATTTAGGTGCCTCTACATTTTAGAAATAATTGGGATAGTTATTATTTAGAAATGCTTATGGTGGCCGGGTTGCTTGTTTACTTTTTAAATTTTTTTACCGGAAGAAACAAAAATCACAAACTTGCCAACATGTGGTATTACACTCATAAAAATTTATTAGAAGAAAATTTCACATTGGTAGGAGACGATGGTAAAATAGAAATAGAAAATCCAGGTTTGGTAAAAGAATCGGAAAATTTGTTTACTCTATGGTGTAGCGGAAGAATGTGTTGCGAAGGAATGTTGGTCGAGTTAAAATTATTAAAAGTAAGTTTTGTTTTGTCGTTAAAAATTTGTAATATGTATGACCTATTTGTAAAAAAAAAATTATACTTATTTGTTTCAGAGACAAGATTTATTGTCTGTCATTGCACAAATTATGAAACCATCAAATGATCAAATTCATATTAGAGTTGATATGAGTAAAGAGGACATGGATTCGTTTGTATTTTGCATTGCCAATAGGAAAACGGCTAATAAATTAAGTAAAGAAATGGCTGATTTGGTACATGTTTATCATTATTCCTATAACTTACTTAAAAAGTTCTTTTCATTTGAAAAAAAAAAGTTTCTCATAAATTTTTTATATTATTTTAGAGTATTTATTGCCCTGAGAAAAAATCTGGATTTAAATTTGGGGTACCTGATAATTTTAGTATTATGAGTGAAATCGGTGAAGTAACATCAGCCATGTTGGATTCGAAAATATTAGCAGTGCTAAATAAATATAATAATTTAGTAGAGTACATACATTTCAGTGATCAATTTTCTGGACCTAAACAAACCGAGTAAATATACTATTTGTCCTTAATTAACAAAAAAAAAAAAAAAAAAAAATTATTATTATTATTATTATTAATAACTTTTTTTTTTTCTTCTTTCCCCCTCCCCCCCACCAGTGATACAAATGTTATAAAATTACCTGATGTAAAAAAGGTTCTGCTATTTCATTTTAACATACCAATAAGAGGTCACGGTACTCAAGAAGCAATGGAACAAATGAAACCCTTACTCCAATTGGTTTTTTATTGCATGGATAAAATTAAACGTTACAAACTAAGCAAAGAGGTGAGACAAATTCTTCATTTCCTTTCCTGTAACAAAAAGAAGAAAAAAAATTAAAATTAAAATTAAACAATTACAGGCTAAGGCAAAAGCTGATAAAAATCGTTTAAGAGTCGAAGAAGCTTTTATGAAAACGACACATGCCGCAAGAGCAGAAGCAGCTGCGGCTAGACGTGAGGAAAAGAAACGACAAGAAAAGGAAAGGATATTGCAAGAAGATGATCCGGAAAAGCAAAGGAAATGGGAAGAAAAGGAAATGAAAAGACAGTTGAAGAAAAAAGCTCCAAGAATAAAACAGTTAAAAGTCAAATCCCTTTGAAAAATGGTGTGTGCGTGCGTGCGTGCGTGCGTGTGGGGAGGGTCTTGTTGTTTTTTTTTTATCAGTAGAAAAAACTTTGTTAGACATACACAAAGTTATTATTATTATTATTATTATCCATTAATAATTGATTAATTAATTTTCTGTAATAAAATTTTTCATATTTATTAAATCTTCTTTATAATCACGTTTATTTGTTACACCTACCTACGAAACAATTAATTAATTATTATTAATTTTACATAAAAAATAAATTTTTATTTATTTATTTATTTATTATTATTATCAGTTATTATTTAATTTCTTTTAAATAAAAATTTATTATTATTATTATGTTAATACAGTTAAATTGATCGGGGAACAATTTTTTTAAATATATTATTATTATTATTATTATTATTGGTTATTAAAAATAAAAATTGTATCGAAAAATAAATAAATAAATAAATAAGTTTTTATAACGTATCAATAAATTTGTTTAAATAAATAAATAAGAAAAGGTAATTAATTAATAATTAATTAAATAAATAAAATAAATTTAAAAAAAAAAACAAATTACAGATTAAATATTTTTATTCGGCCCCTCTCACACACATATATTATAATTAATTAATTAATTATTATTATTATTATTATTATTGTTTATTAATTTATTATTAATTAATTTATTTAAATAAATCGTTATTACAAATATGATGAATTATAATAAAATTTTCATTTAATTATTTTATATATATAATACATATTGACGAAAACAAGAAAAAAAAAATATTTCTCTTTTTCTTATACAATTTTTTAATTAAATATTAAGATAATACATAATAATAGTAGTAATAATAATAATAATAATGATAATAATAATAATAATAATAATGATGATGATAATGATAAATTTTTAACGATTATTTTTTTATTTTAATAAATTTTACAATAAAAAAAAAACATAAAAAATTTCTCGACTCTTCTTCTTCTTCGGTTACTCGTAATATTTAATAATAATAATAATAATAATAATAATAAACATAAATTGAGAAATCATGATGATGATGATAATGATAACGTTTCGGTATTAAAAAAAAAGAAGGGGGTGGAGGATGTGGGTGGAGTGTGGTGGGGGGATGGAGGGGAAATCGGAGGTAAATCGTTATCAGACGATCCTGTAATAAAAATTATTATTTATGTAAAATATTTTTTAACAACAAAAACGTTTTTTAATATAATATGGATTTGTTTGTTTGTCTGTCTGTCTGTTTGTACGTTTGTTGAGTATTTCCAATACTGATTAGTTAATTAATTAATACAATTAATGCAATTAATGTGCCAGGTAGGCAAGCAAATTTATAATTAAATTATTTTCCAATTTTTTTTTTTTGTTTTTTCCTAAAATAAAATAAAATAAATTTATTATTGGCAAGATTTTTTTCGAAACGTTATCATTATCATCATTATTATTATCATTATTAATATATATATATAAATTAAATAATTAATAAATAAATAATAATAATAATAATAATAAAAAACCAACGTGAAATTGTCTAAAAAATTTAAAATAAAACAATAAAAAAAAATTAATAATTTTCAATACTTCGCTTTCACGTTTTTTTTTTTTAAAATAATAATAATAATAATAATAATAATAATAATTTTTCATAATGTTTAATAAATCGACATAAGATTTCAAACGATAAAATATTAATAATAAATAATTTTAAATAATAAAAACATTTTTTTTTTTTGTTACCCTGGCACAAAAGTGGAATTGTTATAATAATATTTTTAATAAAATAATAATAATAATAATAATATAAATACATTTAAAATTTTAATAATAATAATGATAATAATAATAATATATAATAATTGGAAATTTCAAAAGCGATAAAAAAAAAAAGAAAGAGAAAGAGAGAGAGAGAGAGAGAGATAGAAAAAAAAAAAAAAACAAAATCTTTCCTTAAATAAATCCCAAACCTTTAACATACATAGATACATAAATAAAACCTGAATTAATTAATTATTTATTTATTTATTTATTTTTTGTTTGTTGTTGTTACCGACATAATAAAATACAAAAGGCACTAAATACAGAGAGGAGACAGACAGTGTATTACTTTTAAATTCCTTTGATGAAAAATTTTTTAAATATTACATAATTAATTCACATTTAAATAATAATAATAATAATAATAATTATTATTGATAAATTACATTTTTATTTAATTTATTTTATATATATATATATTTATTTATTTTTATCTACTACTTAATTATTAAATTAAAATTATTGATAAAATTTATTAATTAATAAATTTACTCTGTGTATTTCCTCTCTCTCTCTCTCTCTCTCTCTCCTCGTTTAATAATATTAATATTAATAATAATAATTTATTTATTTGTTTTAATTAATTTTGTTTACATTCTCTCTCTCTCTCTCTCACTCACTCATTCACACATTCGGTGCTTTGACAATAGCAGAAAATAGTTTTTTTTAATAAAAACAAAAAGAAAGAACACAAAGAGACCTTATTGGACGGTTTAAAAAACTGAATTAAAAATTTTTTCATCTTCTTCCTCCTCCTCTTCTTCTTCTTCTTTTTCTTCTTCTCCAATTGCAAATGAATTTTAAAAATAATAATAATAATAATAATAAAATATATATATATATATAATAACCTAAAGTTTATCTGTTTTGTTTGGAATTTCAATTGATCCTTCATCGTTTTTTTCTGGTTTGTCTTCTTCTTCTTCGTCTTCGTCTTTGTCTTCGTCATCTTTCTTTTTCCTCCTACCTCCTCCTCCTCCTTTTCCACCATCCATATCCTTTACGAAATCATTCATCTCTCGTCATCATGACTTTTTTTTTTTTTTTTTTTTTTACATTAGAATAATTTTAATTTTTTACTCACCATTGTTTGTATTTCCGTTTCAATCCTTCCGGGGAAATTTTCAACAGTTTCCTTCTCTTCCTCGTCGTCATCGTTTTTTATGTGAACCATTTCCGACATTTTTTGTATTACCATTTCCGCTTGCGCCGTTTCCTGTCAGACACAAAATAATAATAATAATTTTTAAACGTATGACAATTTATTTAATTTAAAAAAATAATTTTGCTTTTGTTTTAACCTGTTCCAACGATTTCAGCCTTGCCAATCTCCAAGCAGCTCTTTTTTCAGCTCTTATTGCTCTTTGCTCATCCGCCATACTTTTATTTTTTTCATTTTCATCTTCGTTCGTGTCATTCTCATCATCATCATCATCATCATCATTTGATTTCTCCTTTTTCGTCGACGATTCCTTTTTCCTACCGACAAAAACAACATTATTATCTTTTCTTCTTGAAAAACAATAAATAATAATAATAATAATAATAATGATTTATTTCATTACTTGTCGAATTCTTTCAAACCGTTGCGTAAATTTTCGTTATTTTTATTCTTTTTTTTAACATTATTGGTGGTGGTGCCATCGTTGTCGTCTTCGTCGTCGTCGTCGTCGTCGTCATCATTGTTGTTGTTGTTCGAGGTTCGAGACCAATTTTTCAAATCTTTACGTGATAGTGATGCAATTTTTTTCTCTTCTTCTTGTTTCATTTTTTCTATTTCGTCGGCATTTAAAAAACTAAACGGCTTTTCTAAAATAATAATAATAATAATAATAATAATAAGAAGGAGAGTAAAAAAAAAAAAAAAAAAAAAAAAACAAAAAAAATTTTTTTTTTTATTACATTTTCATCATGTCATTAAAAAAAAAAAAAAAATTTTCTTTCCCGTTTGAAAACGAATAAGAGAAAGAGTAGAAAAAAAAAAAAAAAATTTAAATTCATTTTCCAATCAATTTTTTTTTGTTTGTTTAAACAAATACTTACAACAATTAATATTAAACATGATTATACCAGATTGACACTAGCAAAAGCTGACTATTAGAAAAGAAAGATAAAAAAAAAGCTAATGATAGCAATTTTATATACTAGCTCATTGATCAAAAAAGTTAGGCACAGGATCAACTTCTTAATAATAATAATAATAATAATAATGATAATGATAATAATACTATGTGTACTTACCGGGCTTCGGAGATGGCTGCTTGGCTTCGTCCATGGCTTTTTCAAAAAATTTTTTTTTATCACTCACGGATGTTTTATTCACAGGCGGTGGATTTCCAGGCGGTGGCTGCTGACCTCCCCCGATCTAATTGCAAAAATAATTCTTCATACCAAAATACTTTCTTTCTTTCTTTTTTTTTTTTTTAGCATCATCAAAACAATCGAAATAATAATAATAATAACAATAATGATAATAAAATACCAAAAAAAAAAAAAAAAAAAAAAAACAACAAATCAATTTACCTCCTAATCGAACCTAATTTTATCAATACCTAATGAGTAAGAAACAATTCTCAAATAATAATAATAATAATAATTAACGAATGATTTATTAATTAGAGAGAGAGAGAGAGAGAGAGAGAGAGAGATAGAGCCTTCATACTTACTTCTTTTACTCACTTTTTTTTTTTTTTTTTAAAAATTTAATACTAAATTTAATTACATTTTTTTTTTTTTTTTTAAACGATAGTCCTATTATTCAAATATTTTCTCTTAATTAAATAAATAATAAACAAAAATCTTACTGCTGTTTGATTTCCCAAGTCTCCCTGGGGAGCGAGAGTGTGTTTGCTCATGACTATCGTCGTCGTTTTGTGTTCGGCAGGAGAAAGTTTTGGAGATTTCGGAGGGACCAATTCAGTGGGACTCGATGGTTTGTTCACCAACATTTCGACGGCTCTCACCACGTCTAAAACCTGCTTGAATAAAAGCATATGATGGAGGAGAGTTAATGGAGTGAGTTTAAAAAAAAAAATTAAAATCCGACATTTTCATTCAAATCTCGATTGATATTTCCGTTCACCTTTTCCGGCGTTGATTTTTCACCACCGGAAATCATCAAACTGTTGTCCTCGCAATCCATAATTTCTTTATTATCGTTTTCGGCATTAACGACTTCTTCGCCGGCGTATTCCGTCATCGCAGCAGAATCTTCGTCATCTTTATCTAGACTAGAAGTGCTATGACTCAAAGAACTGGATTTCGATTCCCGATTATTACCCTCGAGCTGCAACTTCTGAACATCTGATTTTTCGAATCCTGTAAATTAATCGTACCAAAAACAATTATAAATATATATAAGTATAATTTTCTTTCAAAACATTTTTTTTTTTCCATCTTTTTCTTACCAGTGCAAACTAGCAAATGAATTTTATTGCCGGATGTCCTCAGTGCGTTCACAGCCTCTTGGTGCGTGACACCCAAAAGGGAAATATTATTGACCTCGAGCAATCTCATTCCGACTTTTAACCTTCCATCTCTTCTTGCTGCTCCTTTGGAATTTATTTTCGAAATGAAAACTCCTTCATCCGATTTATCAAGAGGATTTCCTCGATGGCCCCGTATTCCTCCTTTTATGTGCATACCCAATTTCTCATCTTCGTCTCTTATTATGGTCAATTCCTATTCATTTTTTTTTTTTTTTTTGTAAACAATAAATAGTATAGGAAAACAAATAATTTACAAAAAAAATTAATACATAAATTTTTGAAAAAAGCCAACAAACCTGAAAACCTTTAGGAAGAGGATCGTGTCTGACGGTTAATTGCAAATCATCTCCCGGCTTTAAAAGACTCATAACAACATCCTGATGACTCAGGGTAGTTATATCTTCTCCGTTCACTTTTAAAATCCTATCTCCGAATCGAATTTTTCCACAAGAGGCAGCTATACCGTCTGGCACCAAGTGAGATATAAATACTCCAGGTTCATCCACACCGAAAGGCACGCAAGAATGATCGGTCCCACCGATAATACTAAAACCCAAGGATGCGTTTCCTTGTCGCTTCAGCGTCACATCCTAAAGTTTAAACATTAAAAAAAAAAAAAAACATTTAATAAAAATATACATCTCCTCCATCTTTATCTACAAACTTTTGCAGATGGTCCTACTTTATAAAAAAATTGTCACGAGGCATGAATTAATTTATACTTTTTTTTTTTAAGACGACAAAAAAATAAATAAAATAAATTAATTAGGAAAAAAAAATCATCGAGCTAGTCTACTAAGCATCAGCATGCAACATAAATAATAAAATTACAAAAAATAAATAAACAACCGGAAATAATTCACCGGAAATGAAGAAAAATATTCCATTAAAAATTTTATATATATGTATAAAAAAATGTCGAACCACAAAAAACTACAAACGACATCTTTAATAATAATAATAACTTTAATGTTAGTTAATAATTTTTTTTTCGGCAAATTTACTTTCCATCACCCAAACTCTATCACCAATACACACCGAAAACTCTTTTTTTTTTTTTTAATTCTAAACCTCAACCTTTGACCTCAATTAATTTTTAAAGGTTTCATTTAACAAATCATTCAGGTAATTATCATTTATAAATTCAGGGATACATATGAAAAAAAAAAAAAATGCGACCGACATAAGTGGCAGGGCAAGCAAAGTAAAATAAATAATAATAATAATAATAATAATATACGCCCCTCCCCGAATGCATGCCATTTCATGATATGTATAATGCGACCTAAAATTGTACAAAAAAAAAAGCTCGGTGAGGTGCATCAAAAAAAAAAAAAAAAAGTTTTTGTTTAAATAAATGAAGAATCAACAATATTGATGATGATGATGATGATATGTATATTATTACCTCTGCCACAACGGGATAAGCCAATTTATTATCCGTGATCCGAGTGACGACGGTTTCCGTGAATGTGGACTTTGTGATTGTTTCGGTTACTCTCCCGAGGGTTGTGGGCGAAGGAGGAAACTGTATACCGTCGTCCAAATTTGGGGGTTGACGAACTGTCACAGTAACGGTAGAACCAGTCGGTTCTGCGTTTCCCGTTTTGGGTTCGGAAGATTTGGTTGAGGATTCCAGGAACCGGGCAGGAATCATGGCCTGGAACTCTTCACTCGTTATCGGTCTAGCAGCCTACATACAACGGGGGGAAGTTCAGTAACTTTCTCAATAAACAATTTACAAAAAATACATAAATAAATAAATAATAAAAACCGCATGATAATTTTTTGTTTTGTTTTGTTTTAGTCTTGTCCCTATTCGTGCATTATTTTTCCAAAAAATTCTTTTTTTAAAAAAAAAAAAAAAAAACACCCATTTTAACATGCAATAATTTTTCAAAAAAGTTTTCCAAACAACCAAACAACCTTAGACAACATTTAAACAATCATTTTTCATTTGATTTTCTGTACTTGCCTCTCAAAGAAGAAAAAACAAAAGAATTAAAATTTTAAGAAACTTTTTTTTTTTTTTTTATTCACCAGAGTAAGTCTATAAACAGAATTAGTTCACAAAATTTATAATCAATTGATTTTTCTTATATATATATATATATATATATGTTTTGATAATAATTTTCATTGATTTTTGGCAAAAAAAAAAAAAAAAAAAAAATTATTTTAATTGTGATAATTTTAAATTTAGTACCTGTATATTGTCAGTCTTCTCTTGCGTTTCCAACAAATCCGTTTTACTATTGAGTCGTCTTGGAGCGGGTTTAGGTGGTTCAACGGTGGTTCCTTGCCAATTGGTCGGACTCAAAGCACCAATTTTACCACCACCACCACCACCACCACTGTTTGATTTTTCATAATCACTTTTCATAACACTATTCGTTAGTCGGTAACTTGGTCTATTGGCCATGTAACTATTTGCGCTGTATAAACCGGTGTACGGCCTCAAAAGTCCAAACATTCTGGGTGATTTTTCATAGGGTGAAGGATTTGAAGATTGAAAAGACACATTTGGTGCTTCTTTTGATTCCTCCGCGGAAACCGGCTTCTCCACGGTTAAATCTTTCAAACTGTGCCCTTTTAAATCTACACCGTTGACCTGAAAATCCCATTAATAAATTTTATTCATCGGAGTTGAGTCGCGATTCTCCCGCGCACGGGGATTTAATTACAAAAACCCACACTTAATTACTTTTAACAAAAAAAAAAAAAAAAAAAAAATTAATAAGATAAAATAAAATTTATGGAAAAAAAAAAAAAAATCACATAATGACGACAATCAATCATAATAATAATAATAATAATAATAATAATTAAAATGATGAATACATTCAATAATATCCCTAATATGATTTACATAGTCAAAAACAACACATTCAATCAAAAGTCAACGGATGCAAAAACAAATTTTTATAAAAAAACCGGGGATATAAAAAATATGAATGCATTAAAAAATAAATAAATAATAAAATAAATATAGGTAACATATAGCATACGTACATGTACTAATTTGGCAACTTCCCTGAGAATAACGAGTGTTAAAGATCCTCCGGCTTTTCTCAATACCTCCACCGCTTCGTAATGATCCGCTCCGACTAAATCGTGACCATTGACCGACAATACTTTATCTCCAACCTAAAACAAATAAATAAATAAAAATTATTTAAAACTAGCATCATCCTGAAAAAAAAAACATCTGAAATTTTATAAAGAAAAATAGTAATAATTACAACTCAAAATAAACTCATTTAATTGCAAATAAATTTTATGAAAAAAAAATGGCAAACCTTCAAGTTAGCCAAATCAGCGGGACCACCCTCGGTCACTCTCGATATAAAAATCCCTTCGTCGTTTCCTTTAAAAGGTGTCGAACCTCGTCCTCCGGCTATGGACAATCCCAAACCCGCGTTGGTTCTTTCGATTCGTAATGTCAGAGATTCTTCTTTAACTTCAACTGTAAAAACAAACAACCTTTAATTTAAAAAATTTTTAAAAACTTTTTATGAATTTAGTTTGTAGATAACAATAAATAAAATTTTTTACTTTTTTCTACCAGGTAAACTTTTTTATTTTTTTTCTGACCCATGATTTGTCGTCCTCACAAATTAGTTATTGTTTTTTTTTTTTTTTTACCGAGTAAAAATTAAAACGCACAGAATAAAATAAAATCATATAAAAGAGTATGTTATTATTTGTACAGATCATCGCCACCTATATCGTATAGATAAGAAGACTTTATCAGTTTTAATAATAATAATAATAATAATAATAATTACTACGGCAAACGGCCAAACTAACCATTTTTATTAGGGAGTTCTAATCTTGACGAGTCTGCATTGACGCCATCTTTATCTCCTTTTATTCCCGAAAATTTCGTCTCTTTTTTTTTCATAACCTGAAAAAAAAAATTAAAATGTGTAAAAGTATAGAAAAGTGAATAATAATGTCGTTAACGAAAAAAAAAAAAAAAAAAAAAAACAAACAAAACTGTAGATATTATTAATAAACTGAAAAACAGAAATTAATAAAAAATTATAAACAGGCATAAAAAAGCAAAAAAAAAAAAGTTAAAAAACGGTGTTGGGTTAATGTGTAAAGCGAGAAAATTAATGTAAGACAATAATAATAATAATAATAATAATAATACGGAAAAACTTAATTTACAAAAAAACACATCGAGTAAATAAAAACTAAATGTTAATAAATAAATATTTAAACTGTACTAAAAAAAAAAAAAATTCCGAGGACAGGGAAAAAAAAAAAAACTCAACAAATGGCTGGTGGTGGTAGTAGTGGCCGAGGATCATTTTTCAACATGGCCCGAAAAAGAAAAAAAAATTGATGACTAATAATAATAGCCACCAACCTGTTCCATTATTGATGCAACCTTATCGCTATCGACTTGAGAACTGATCCGTTTGTTCTTCAAATGATGAGGAGTATCTCGCCTATGCAATCGGCTCTGCCTAGGCGGATCTTCGTTCCCGTTATTTTCAACTTGGAACCCAACGTGTTTTTCACCCTCCAATTCCTCCTACAAGTTATTCATTATTCCACTAGTTACACGATTTATATACAGAGGTGAGTGCGTGCATGCTATTTTTTTTTTTTAGTTAAAGTGATGTATGTATAGTTAAAAGTTGGGTTTTTCAAAAGCATTATTTAAAGATGGCCGCCGCGGATTTGTAAACAATATTTTCTTTTATATTGTTAAACCCTACTTTACTCGTGGGTTAGAATTTAATACCAAAACTCATTGAAAAAAAATACCTCGATATCGTTATCGTGAAGTTCATCCCCTCCTCCCAAACGTTCATCATCATCGTTTTCGTCATAACTTTGATCATTGAATTGATTTTCCGTTATTCTATATTCATTATTCGAATTAAACGTTGTGTAATTATCAGGGATTTTCCTGTATAATCCCTTATCATTTCCTTCCTCCTCATCTCCCGTCGTTTTCTCATCGGAGGGTTTTCCTTTTCCGCCAAATAATTTGTGCGCTTTGGCTTTTAATTCTTTCGGATGAGGAGTATTTTGCCTCACAAACAACGTCTAAAATAAAAGAAATGGTAACCTCGATTAAAACTTGCACAAATAATTTTGTTGAATTTTTTAATTCGAACGGGAAAAACAAAAAAAAGTTTGTATTACCTCTTTATTAAAATCTTCTTTATCTAAATCCAAATTGTCGGTAAATTTTACAGAAGTCGTTCTAGAAGCTTCCTTTTCTCTCCATCCTTCCTCATCGCTGTCTTCGTCCCGGCGCAAGTGAACTTCTAAAAATTTAAAAATATCATAATGCATTATTTATATTATTTTAAAAAAAATTTTATAATTAATTTTATTGTCACTTTAATTACCGATAAATATTACCATCATTAGTCAAAGCATGTCTTTAAAATTAAAATGTAATCTATGCATTTCACAAAAAAAAAAAAAAAAAAAATGAAAATTTGCACAAGGTAAAATACAATCATATATAAGCAGCAAATACTCGTGTTAAATTCAAAAAAAAAAAAAAAAAAAAAAAAAAAAGAAAACAATAAAATTACAAAACATGTATATCTGTATGAATTCATTAAAATTTAAATTATGGCACGATCAATAATCGACCTTGAGGAAAAAAAAAAAACAAAATTTGATCCTTTTTTTCTAATCAATAAAAAGTAAGTAAGTAATGCTGCTTAAAAATTTCATTTTTTTTTTTTTTTTTTTTTTGAAACTTACACTTTGCTTACATAAAATAAAAGTAAACACTTGGAAAAAACTTATTTAAAAACAAAAAAAAATATGATTTGAAAAGAATAAAACTCACCGTTGATGCGGTCCGAAGTAAAATCTAACTGAGGAAGGAGAAAGCAAGTCAAAACTTGTTCTCCTGTATCATCAGCTATATCCTCTTGAAATGTTAAAAGAGGTTGAGCTTGGTTCTCAGAGAGCCAAACCGCTTTAAGGTTTAATTTGGCAAGTGAAAAAGGAAGATATTGAAGTCGATTCCCGGAAACGTGGAGGACGTGAAGTTCTGAGCAGTTACCAACTTCGTTTGGAAGATGTGTGAGTTTGTTATCACGCAAAGATAAAACACCTAAATGCGATAAATTTCCTGCAAGGAAAAAATTTTTAAAATAAGTTTTAATAAAATAATTTTTTCCATTTTTTATTTATGTATATGTATGTACATGGACATTATACATACCTATTTCTACAGGAAGGCGTTGAAGACTGTTCCGATCAACATTAAGATTGTTAAGGTTCACTAGGTTTCCTATGGTTATAGGCAACTCTAACAGAAAATTTTCCGTCAAAATGAGTTCTTGTAAATTTAAACATTTCCCTATATTCGGATTTAAAACAGCAAGTCTATTTTGATCTACTTTCAAAATGGTCAATTTTTCCAAATCTCCTATTCCATCTGGTAAATTTTCAATAACATTTTGAGACAAGTGAAGATCTGTGAGATTTGTCAACCCTCTTATTTCCTCAGGCAAGTCTTCCAATCGATTTTCAGATATATCTAAGCAAGTAAGTTTCTTTAGCTGGCCTATTTCTGGTGGAATGTGTTGCAATTGATTATGATCCAGCCAAAGCTCTAGTAGGGCAGGTAATTTTCCAATGTGATGTGGCTAAAACATAATTATTATAAGTACCTCCATTTTTTCCATTTTAAATTAAATAACTAACCAATCCTTTAAAATTTCGAAAAAAAACCCACCAAAATTTCAATTTCATTATCTCCCAAGTCCAATCGTTCAAGTTTTGTCAGTTGAGACAGAGTATCGGGTAATGATTTAAGTAAATTTTCTCTCAATTCTAAACTTTGCAATGATGTTAAATTTCCCAAATCAGGTGGTAAAGATGTCAATGACATATCATTTAAACCCAGAGTTGTTAAATTTTTCAAATGGACAAACCCTGGAGGTAATCTTTGAATTGGATTGCTGCTAAAATCTGCTACTTGTAAGGCTTGTAAACTTTTAATATTTTCCGGTATATCTTGAATATCTATCAAAAGAAAAAATTCAATGGTCATGAATTTCAAAATCATATAAAAAATTTAATTGTTAAACACACTTAATTTATTTTTAAAAATAATGTAAAAATTTACCATTTCTCGATACATCCAATTCGACTAAATTTTCAAAATTGCCAATGTCTGGTGGTAAATTTTGAATTTCATTATCACTTAAACCCAACCTCCTAAGTCTTTGAAGGCGAAAAAAATTCTGAAAAAAAAACATAATAAGTAACTTAAGTAGATAATTACAGAAAAAAAAAAAAAAAAAAACTTTATTTGAAATACTTGTACATATGTATAAATACTTAAGTAGAATAAGTTATTACAAATGGCGCTTAAAAATCTTTTTGACAGTTTATTTTAAATTGAGATCAAAAAAATTTTACATGGAAACGAAAACGAATAAGGTTCTAGGTAATTTAACATTACGAATTTTTTAATTTTTCTCTGTATAATTATAGGAGCTTGTTAGACTACCTTAAAGTATTAAAATTATGCTATATGTTGCGCGTAAAAAAATCAAAAATTAAAAAAATTTTGAACTGGCAATTTCGGTAATTGTAAGTCGGAAAGGAGATTCATTGACATAGAATAATAATACGTACGAGTTTTTTTTGGGCGGAAACCTTTAAGAGAGAAAGTAATTTACCTTAGGAAGGTCTCGAATGTGGTTAGCATCTAATAATAATTCTTCCAAAGATCTTGAATATCTCATAACATCTTCGGGAACCGACTGTAAGAAACAGTGACGCTTATCCACATATTCAACTTGCCTATTACACCCTTTAAAAATCGGAATGCAACGAAACATGACGCCGTCACGTTATAAACACAATATTCATTATCAACATTGAAACAAAAAAGGAGAACAACATAACAATATAAACACTACTTATACTAAAAAAACTTTAAAATAATTTAACCCTAATCATGAACCACCCATCCCTAATTTTGTCATTCCTGACTCGATGGGAATTATATTACTTGACGTCATTACCTTTTTAAATAACAAAGTTGTGAATGGAAATATTTTGCAATGCCTCCTGGATATTTCCGTGTTAATTTTTTACGTCAAATATTGAGATTAGTGAACCTTATTTTTAACGACCAAAAACCTATTTATTTTATTATTTATTATGAATTCAACTGAAATTTCTTTTAATTAAATGTTCTTATTAAAACTTAAATTTTTCTCAATTAAATATTATTACCAAGGAGGCTTTAACAAAATTAATAATAACGATAATTAATGAAATTTGTTATCTACTGTACAACTACCCTTTGACTTTAAAGTCTGAGATAAAAAATTTTTTGAATTTTTTAAATAATTTTTAAATTATAAATTTTTATTTAAAAATGAATTTAGATAATAAGGTAGTAGGTTTTATTGGTGGAGGTAATATGGCAAAAGCCATAGTATCAGGTTTATTACAAAATAGTAAGTATTATAATTAAAAATGATATTTTTTTCAAGGAAATTTGATTACATTTTTTATGAAATATTTTTATTTCAGATCTAGTAAAGTCGACACAGGTTATTATTTCAAGTCCCTCTGAACTTACTTTGCAATACTGGAAAAATTTAAATATCAAGGCTGTGTTGTCTAATAGTGAAGTTATTAATAAAGCTGATATTATTATATTAGCCTTTAAACCACATCAGTTAGAATCAGCATTGAAAAATTTAGATCTGGAAGAAAGTGAGAATAAGCTATTTGTGTCTATTTTAGCAGGAATAACCAGCCAGGATATTTATGATGTAATTTATGTTTAAATTTATAAATCAATAGTTTCATTACATTGAATACAGATTTTTGATATTGGGAACACAAGTTAAAGCTTAATTATATGAATCACAATTATTATTTTTCAGAAACTCATAGCAAATTCAATTAAAAAACCTAGAGTCATACGAGTAATGCCCAATACTCCAGTCACAGTATGTGAAGGTTGTTCAGGTTAGTGTAATTAAATATACATAAAAATATATTTCTAAAATTTTTAAATCAAAATATGAAAAAGTACATTAATTTTTTTTTTTTTTAGCTATTTCTCCTCATTCGTCTGCTTTAAAAGAAGATATAAATGTTATAGAAAAAATATTTTCATCTGTGGGTATAACGGAAGTTGTAATCGAGAATTACATGTCTGCTTTGACGGGCTTAATAGGAAGCGGACCAGCATATGTGAGGATATTTTATAAACATATTTTTTTTTTTTTTTTTAAAATATTGAGTCGGTATAAAATATTTACCTTGAACTGTTATAGATTTACACATTGATAGAAGCTTTATCAGATGGTGCTGTCAAGCAAGGTGTACCAAGACAAATTGCAACATCATTTGCCGCTCAAACCGTCTTAGGCTCTGCCAAAATGGTTTTAAGTACCAAGAAACATCCGGGACAATTAAAAGATGAAGTTTGTTCTGCAGGAGGAACTACTATTCATGGTATTCATGCGTTAGAAAAATGTGGCGTGAGAGCTGCTCTTATGAATGCAGTGGAAGCAGCAGCACAAAGAGCCGATGAAATAGGAAAAAAGTCGAAAAAGTAATTTTAAACATACATTAGAATCTTGTTTGATTAGTCGATTAATTAAAATAGTGTTTATAAATGTAATATAATAGTAAGTAGTCAACAATTTAAAGATATTTAATTTATATGTTTTTGTGTGATAAGAAACTAGCAAAGTATATTATTATTATTAATTAAAATAATATTACTTAAGAATATTTGCTCTTTTGCAAAAGCTATAACTGTGATTCATACAATTTTTTGAGATATTTTTTGTAAACTGATCCAATATAATTTTACATTTCAAACAACAAAATGAATAATAAATTATTGATTACAAGAAATTATAAAAAAAAATAAAACAAAATCCGTATAATTTTAAATTAAAAAAAAAAAAAAAAAAAACTTCCATTAAACGTATTGAATAAATAATTATGAAAGGAAATTTATTCATAACAATATGAAAACTAACTTTTTCATAAAATAAAATTTAAAAAAAAAAGTTATTTAAAGTTTTCAATCGTTTTTTTTTCTTTTTCTCCTTATTAAATAAAATAAAATACTAAAATTCTTATAAAGTAAAAATAAAAAATAAAAAATTAGGTAAGTTTTATAAGACATTGATAGAATTTTTTTATCATTAATAATTTATGATGAATTGAACAAAAAAAAAAAAGAAATACGATACCTGTTGAATAAAAATTAATTTCACTTAAATTCACAAATATTTCTATCACTAAAATTCACATTTTTAACCAAAATTTAAACAAAATGACTTATAAAATCGATTAGCCACAAATTTTAAATGAATCGAATGTAATTTTTGTCCGTTACAAAAAACAAAATGGAAGACAAAATGGCGGCGAATTCCCTTCGTTGAGAGATTTCATGTAAGTTTTTAATCATTTGTGAAACGGATATAAAAAAAAAGGAATAATTCAATTATTTTATTTAAAAAAACAAAACGTTTCTATTTATATAACCTAATAAATTAAAAAAAAAAAAAATTAACTTTATATTCGACCTAAATTCTTTTTTCTTTTCACACAAAAATTAAAAACTTAAATAAACAAGATAAAATTAAATTAATGAATTATTAATTTTTTTTTTTTATTACATAATACATTATTATTATCATCATTTATATATGTATCATATACACTGTACATAAAAAAATTTTATATTAAATTTCTTTTCTTTTTTTAATTGTACTATAATATAGATAATTATCAACTTATAAATAACTTTTTTAATAATAATAATAATAATAATAAAGCCTGTCGAAGGTGACCAAAATAGTTAAAATAGTTAAATAAAAAAAATAAAAAAAATTCAAATTGAATTTTATTTTAAAAATTTAACTATTTTAATAATTTTTTTTAGTTACCTTAAAGAGGTTTTAACAAAAGATTTAAAAACTTTAACAATTTTTTTTTTTAAAATTAAATTAAAAGAATACATTTTAATTAAAGATCCATAATTATTTTTTTTTATATATATATAAAAACTTTATTTGAAATTTATTTATAAAATTAATAAAAATCATTTTTTTCTCATCGACAAATAAAATTATTTGAAAATTAAGACACTTTATTATTATTATGTTAATTATTACAGAAAACAAATAATAATTGACTAGACGCTGAAAATAAAAAAAGATCTGGCAAGAATTAAAATTATTATTATTATTAAAATAGTTTTAATAAAAAATATTAAATGTTAGTAATAGTAATTTTCTGAGAATTTAATAATCAGTATAAAAATTTTGAAAGTTTATAATAAAAATAATTATGGATCCTTACAAAAAAAAAAAAAACAATAATAATAATAATAATAATAATAAATTTATTATAAACAGAGTCTACTTAAATCTAGAAAAAAAAAAAAAAGGATAAACATTTCCTCTGTACAACTTTTCAAAAAATTAAAAAATATTTTATTTGAACACAATTTTTTTTTTTATTTTTTCAACGACAACAAATCCATTGCGTTCAAAATATTATAACGTTAATTAAACAACTTTTCACTCATAAAATGTGTTTTTTTTTTTTTACTCATCTCCCCACTCCCACCCCCCTTTTTTTAAAATTTTTAGTGCCTTTTTTTTTGTATTAGAGTTTTGCTCTTAGATTAAAAAAATAATAATGATATTTAAAACAAACTAAACTATGAAGGTTTTAGTTTTTTGTTTTTTTACAATGACGGGTTTTCAAATTTGTAACCTTTGGTTATGAATATTTCCTCAAAAGCACCTTCTTGTTCCAATTCGAGAACTTGAGTTTTCTTTAAAACAAGGAGAGTGTAAAACTTTTGAGCGACTTGTTTTTTATTATTCCTGTGCGTCATTTCGCTGAAATGTAACGTGGATTGACGAGCCAAACGAGTTTTCAATATGTGATACATGTGGGCTGCTCTTTTGTTTAAAACTCTCTCTTCGAATTGCTCGTATGTTTCATCCGTTTGTTGCTCGTCGGGCTAAAAATTAAAATTTCAAATTATTTTTAAAATCTTTCGTTATTCTTTTAATAAAATAATTGTAGCGTTACTTACAGGTCCCGCAGAATTAGGAAATTCATAATCCTCATTCCAGGGAGTCGCTTGACCTTTTTCACTTATGCAACCCGGCGTTTGAGCCGGAGGATGATGTTCGTCGTAGCCCATGTTAGCCATTGCGGGATTGTTTTGATCATATCCCATGTTTTCCATCAAAGGATTATTTTCTGGTTCTAATATAGAATTAAGTTGGTCGACGTGGAGTTGCGGTACTTCGTCTATGTGCTGCAAATGAGGTCCAGGAGTGTGGGCGACGTATGAATTTTTCCCGGGATACATTGGACTCGCAGGTGGCATTAAAGGGCTGTTGGAAGGAAGGAGTCCTGCCGGAGTTGTAGGCGGTGGATAATTCGGTGTACGCGAATGAAGAAGAGTGTCGTTTTGAATGGACATTGGAGGTTGGATTTCGGGAACGGATGTTAGAGATGGATTTAAAGAAAAATTATTATCTTGAGAAAGGGGTGTAGCCGGGGGAGCGGCTATCGGTGTTGGAGGCAAAAATTGATCTGGCAAAGGTATAGATTGTTGCATCATTTCTTGGGGTGATGAAATTTTTTTCTGCAAAAAAAAAAAAATACAATAAAATATTGATTAAAAAAAAGGATTTTTCATAAGATAAAACAAAAATAATTAATTTTTTTTATTTACCTGAACTGTTGATGAATCATCTTGATCGATTTGCTTTCTCTTCTTTGGACCTCTTTTCGAAGTGGGAGCTATATTTTCAATGTTATCACCATCTGTATCTCTTATTTGTTCTAAAGTTATTTGATCCTGCTTATCAGCTGGATCGTGATATTCATTTTCTACAGCTCTTAATGTTAAATGTCTTTGATAATTCTATTTAAAAAAAAAAAAAATAATAATTATTATTATTATTTTAAAAAATGTATTTAATTTTATATTCCCTACGTACCTTAAATAATGCTCTTGCTGGTAAATGCTGACTTGGTAAGGCAAATAATTTTTCCACACCTCCACTTTCTTTCCAGTGCATTAAACGTTTTGTTGGAGGTGCAAGATCTAATGTAGTGACAATATCACTCGTGTCCGACAATTGTGCTTTCATTTCTTCCCCGGATATATTTTTAACTTCATCAACAATTAATTTTCTTTTACGTTTTGTTTTTTGAAGTCCTTTTAGTGCAGAAGCATCAACAGGAGCTAAAGCAAAACTTTCTTCTTCGTTTTGTAAAAGTGTAGTTTGATCATTAGGGGGCAAAAGGTCTTCCTTTTCTTTTTCTGAATCATGCTGATGATGTGGGCTTGAATGTGTTTCTGCCATATCTTCTTCTGCTCTGGGTAATTCTGGCTCTTGATTGGGAAGGGGAGTAGCCGGACGAGAACCATCAGAGCTATGCCCTCCTACTGAAGGTGGTCCACCAAAATGATTATCTGCCTCGTCATCACTATCAGGAACAGAAGCAGAAGGAACTTTTTCTTGCTGATGGTCAATATTAGATTCTGGCACAGGAATATCCCCTACTATTGGTGTGTCATCAAATAAAGATAAACCTCCTTCGAATAAACCACCTCCCATTATGTCAGGACCAAGATTACCACCAAAACCATCTCCTCTAATTGGAGCATCTATTTCTAATGATCTTGTAGCTACCCCTCCAGAAGTTGACGGTTGTGGCTCTTTTTCTCTATCCAAATGTGTGATATGGTCTGGTTCACTAAAGAGTAAATGAGATTGATCAAAACTTCTATCCAACGAAGCAGCAGTTCTCAATATATCGGGTGGTTCATTGTCGAAACCCATGTCTCCAAATCCTTCATCATTTGTGACCAAACACAAATTTCCATAGTCTTCTCTCATTGTGATTTCCTCAGCTCTAGATTGATTTAAACTAAATTGGGCTTCGATATCAACATCATTTAAATCTGGAATGGTGGCATCAAAATCATGGAAAACTTCAGGCAGGGTAATGGTATTCACAGCTGCTTCTCTGTGTTCTTCAGGAAGATCAACCATTCCAGGCCTAAAGGCCATTTTAATTTTGACAAATGCCTCATTGCAATCAGCTAACAAATATTTAGCTTTTCTAGAATATATTCTCACAACTCCTAGCAATAAATGTCCAGATGTTCTCAAAGCTATTTTAACTTTGGGTTGCAAAATTCCATCGACGGAAGTTTCAATGTTAGTTTCAAAGACTTGGGCTTTGGTTAATTTTTTGTCCCAATGAGCGGCAAGCCAAATTCGAGCCAAAGGCCCTTTCTTTTGTAAAACGAAATGGGCGTAGAACATGTTGAACCGTTGTTAAGGACTATAAAAATTTCATACCAATATTGAATATTTCAATTAATAAGCAACAACATAAAATTACACTTTTATAATTAAAACGTAAAATCCGAAACTAATAAAATTCAACCGCATTTATATTAAAAAAATTATTAATAAATAAAAAAAAAAAAAAATTTAAATATTTAAAAAATTAACGTAATTTACTTTGTCAATATTAAAACACAAACAAAAACTTTCCCGCCTATTGGGGGGAGAAAAGAAGCTGTGGCTTTCCTGCCACCTTTCAAGACTTGATTTTAACACGTAATAAAAAAAAATCACATATTTATTAACCAATTAAATCCGCACTGAATAATTTTTCATTTTTTCCGTTAAATATTTTATATAAAGTGAAAAAATACTAGATATAACATTTACATCACCACTTATAATGGAGTCACGAAAACAAAATGGATGAATCTGATGTGGACACAATTTCGCTTGAAGCGCGAATCATAGAGTAAAAAAAAATGGCGGCAAAGCACGCCTATTTGTGCAGTTATTTATTCTAGTTAAATTTATATGACCAACTGTCATTACTATATATTGCTTTTATTTTTATTGTTTTAAAAATAGTTATTTTTAAGTGGTTTAATTGGAAAAATATTGAGGCCTCTATTTAACTGTACGTTACAAATGTTTTTTATTTTTAATATTAATTATGGAAATAAATTTTTAAAAAAATTGACTGTATTTAATAAAACAACACTTATTTAAATAATATAAAACGTATATTTCTTAGTACAAATAATATAACATAGTACTTTATATAATAAAATATAGAAAATGCAATAAAAGATTATGAAGAAAATATTTCAATTTCAATGAAGTAATGTACAAATTTGTTAATACTCCTTTGTCTAAATACAATTTATTTTATTACTTACTAAAAAAAAAAAAATCATTAACGCAATATCTCAAAAAAAAAATTAAATTAAAAAAATTATAAAAAGTTAATATTACATAGTTAAAATAATAAAAAAATTTTTAATTTAGTCATAATCTGAAAACTTTCATATGTGAGAGCTTTAAAAGCTTTTAAGAGCAATTGCACAAACGAGTTAATTGTAAAATCTTTGATTTTTCATTTTTTCATTTCTTACATTTAGGTGCCAATGGATTATTTGGCAATATTAGAATTCTCATATGCAATTCGTTTTTTAGTCGTTCCAATTTTTACCTTATTAACCTTTTCAGCAAATCTTAATGAGCATAAAGTTTCTTGAAGGCAACTTTCAGCAGGAGATATATTCACTAACATGAGAGTTTTACTCGATCCACCGAGAGCTGGCTGTAGCAAATGAGTTAGTTTTGAATTTCTGTAGGGAATATGTTCTTGCTGAAAATACAAACGAAAAATATAAATTATTTTTCATATAATAACGATTCAAATTAAATATTTACTTATATAATTTTTAAAATCATCATTACCTTTTGTAACAATCCTAAAATAACATTTCCTAATTCTGAAAGTGATTTATTTATATTTTTCATTTCCCTAAATCTCGGATCTGACATGGGTTCATTTAATCTTTCCGAACCAGCTAAATCAACTAGATACAATGATCCTGAAATATAAGCACATTAAAATTTTGTACCAAATCATTTTATATATATTTAATGATAAAAAAAAATACAATCATTTATTTACCATAACATTTTTCTCCCTTATTTTGATGAGTTCCAGTAACTTTGATTCTAGTAACAGAATGAGAACGGCTTGATCGTTCGTTGCAACTTGTATATGCTACAGCTCTATTTTGGTGAGCCAGTATATACAATCGATCTAAATCTTCGTAAGAATTGACTTCCATTATCTTTAAAAAATAAAAGTAGAGATGAAGGTATTAAATAAAAATTGGATTTTAAAATTTTACAAAAAATTTATATCTTACAGTGAGGCCAGGAATTGTTATTTCATTTGTTTTCCCATCAATTTGCATGATTTTCAACGAAGAACCTTCTTTGTCATTTCTCAAAAGATCCCTTATTATTTCATTGTAGATTTCGAGAAAACTCACTTCCACAGTGTATTTCCAACCCTATAATTAATAATAATACAACATTAAAGTGAATTCCTCAAAAAAATTTTATTTGTTAGGGTTGATGTTTAACATCAAACTCAAAAAAAAAAAAAAACAGATTTTTTTATTAATTTTAACAACTTACTATTAATTCAAGTTCTTTTAATGATTTAAAAATGTGATCCACTGTTCTTGGTATCATTCCTCTTTTGAGGTCTTCATTTTCTCCTTCCATTGTATACGTCTTTCCTGAACCAGTTTGCCCGTATGCAAATACACAAACATTGTATCCATCGAGAGCAGACTAATCGAATAATAATATTATGATTTACAAGAGTGTAAATTTAAAAGAAAACATGATTTTTCATTGTGAATGCTTTACCTGAACAAGTTGAGAAAGTTCAACAAAGATATCTTCTTGAGATGATCCAGGATTAAAAACTTTATCAAAGCTAAATTCATGTTTGACAAACTTTGGTCTCGAAACTACACTAGTGGTGCTGTTAGTAAATGGATCTGAATAAAATAAAATTAATTTCGAATATTATATGTTTAGGCAACAATAATATTACTTAACAAAGCATTGTATTTTTTTTTTTTTTTAATGAATTTAATACCTGATTTTGAAATTTCCAAACTTCCTTCATCTGGGAAATTAATTGTGCAAAGTGGAATTGAATTATCCCTTTCCGCTGGAATCGGAGGTCTTACACGACAAAAAACTCTGATATTACCCTAAAATGTTTTTTTTTGTTTACAAAATATTTAACTTAATGTTTTCATTTTTAAATGTTTCAGTACATTAATTTATAGTAAATATATTTATATAACATTACCTTAAGATCTTGAACGGTATTGTGCAATTGTCGGCGAAGTTTTTCATTTTCGCATAATTTTTTTTTTAATTCGTCACAAGTTTCAGATAATGAAATACCATTAGCTGTTTTCTCAGTTAATTCTGTTGAAATTCTATTGACTTTATCTTCTAGTAAACTATTTTGCAACTTGTTCGATGAAATTTCTTTTTCCAATTCAAATATTTTGTTCTAAAAAAATAATAATTAATAATTAAAATTTTTTTTTTTTTTGAATACAATCAACTGCAAATAAATTATAAACACACATAATTAATTAATACATGGCAATGATTTTTGCAATCAATTGATTAATACGATAACAAGAAAAACATTAAAACATGAAACAAGCTGTAAACATAATCAAATACTAACCCTGGCCTTCAATAATTCGTCATTTACTGTATCAAGATTTGAAGTCTTATATTTGATTTCTCTTTCTGAAATATCAACTTTGTTTTGCAAATTTGCAATTAAGTCATCTTTTTCTCTTATTAACTGCCTTAAGTCATTTATTTCTTGCTAAAAGTAAAATTGTATTTAATTCGAAAACATTTATTTTTACTTTTTAACTCATAATTGAAATGACTAAAATCAAGTTGCTTTGAATAACTTACTCGATTTCGAGTTAAAGTATTATCCAAATCTTCAATTTGATTTTTCTGTCTCTTAGTTTTAAATTCTAAATCTTCGACTTTACATTGCAACTCTGATAGTTTAGAAGTTTTGGTTAACAAATCTTCTCTGAGATTTGTTAGATCTGTCTGTTAGTAATAAAAATAAATTGTATTATAAAAAAACAATACCTATTTATAGTTTACTTTTTGTTCAGACAAATTAGGCAAAAGAAAAAGAATTTAAAATATTTTGGAAGAAAAAAAAAAAAAAAAAACATAAAACATAAAAAAAGTTGATAACATAATAAAATATACGAATAAACATTAAATCTGTAAAAAAATTTTTTTCCATTTAAAATTATGATTAAACATTTAATAATAATATTTAAACAATAATAAGTAATGTACTTAGCAATTCTGTTTGAAATTATATCAAAGTAAAAACTGAATAACACACAACATACATTTACATGTATTATCGATACACTCGAAACAAAAATTTTTATAAAGGTAAAAACAATAATAAATTGTTTTATATTATAGTTAATAAACATTTAAAATTGCTTTCAACTTTTTACTATTTTTGAGAAAATATATTAATCATGGCAGAGAATTTTTGAAGAATTTTAAAACAATTACTGACTGTGTTAAAAATATATAAAAATGCCACACTTATTTTAAAATCAAACATTATTTTACCTTTAACGATGAAACTTCTCTATCCTTTTGTACAATTAAATTTTCAAGTTTATCAATTTTTTCAACAAATTCTTTTGAATCATGGAATAATTTATCATAACTTTCTGTTTTAGACCTAAAATTAATAAAACATCATTTTTAAAAAAAATTGTTTTTAACTTGAAAGGGAATTTATCGAATAATTTTATTATTACTTTAAGTCATTCTCAATAGTTAGTTTCTGCTTCTTTATTTCTTGTAGTTCAGAAACTAGTAATGATTTTTCAGATTCAAGTACAGAGTTATTATGTTTTTCTTCTTCAAATTTTTCCATAACATCATTATACTGTATTTCATATTCACTGCATTTATTTCTTAAATCTACAACCCACTCTTCACATTCTGATATTCTTAATTTCAATTCCCAACTTTTAGCTTTGTAAGGAAAGCCTAAAACGTTTAAATCAAAATTTAATTTTATAAGCTTTATCGATTCTTACGATTTAATTCTTTGTAGATGATTTTGTTAAATATAATTTAAATTACTGTTTTAGTATGTTTATTAGTATTATAGTATTAAAAGTAAAATTAAATTAAAATATAAACATTGCTGTACCTGTTTTTGGGACTGCTTTTGGCTGCTTTGATGCTGGACCTTCACTACCTTCACCACCAGCAGCAGTTCTTTTGACTGCACAAGATGTATTTTTTAATGACACTCCTGTTTTGCATCTTGTGATACCGACAGAACTTTTAGCAATATTTGGGACACTCTTGGATGAACTAATTTTTACTTAATTTAAAAAAAAAAAAAAAGAGAAAAAGATTGAATTTTAGATAATGGTACTCTTGAATTACAAAGTAAGCAAATTTATTGAATTAATATTTCTTACAGTTAGTAGTAATTTTTGGTTTTGTAACTTCCTTATTTTCAGAATAATTATTTGCCTTTTCGCCTAAATAATTTGTGGTAGTTACCGCACTAGGAGCTAATTTTGGCCTCGATGGTATAATATTTTCTTTCTTTGATTTTGGCATAGGAATTTTAGATCCTGAATTGGTTAAAAAATGTCCAGGATCCATTACTGAAAAATAACTGGGAGATTTGTAACTGTACAAGAAAAAATTTTATATATAGTAACGATATGCACATAAAACAAGATTATACCTATTATTTCACAACAAAAAAAAAAAACAAAATTTTAAAATTATAAAGTAAAAACATGACTCACTTTGATAAAATATCTATCCAGCTTGTGAAACAAAAATCTATTATAAATAATTTCTAATAATAAATTAAAGCGTTGTAAAATCACAATAACAAACAAGCAAGCTAAAAACTGGCGGTTTTTAGAAGGGAGGGCAGAACAAAGGAATTTAACGAATTTTTAACAGTGCATCCAACAGTTAATTTATAGTTGGCTATATCACTAAAAAATGGATTGGCTAATAAATTGTGATTTTTAATAATTAAATACTCAATATAATAATTAAAAATTTTTGTTATTGGTTTTTACAGTATTTTAATTTTTTAACCTTGATAATAGAAAATTCATTAATTAAAAAAACTAAAAAACAAGTTAATACAACGTATTATGTTTTAAATGTAAAAATAATATGTGACCGAAATAATCGGTCATATGTGATAAAAACTTTCCCAATAAAATATGACTTTTTGTTATGAAACAAAAATCATCATTATCTTTTATTTAATTTTTTTATCCCTAAAATTTTAGAGAAACCAGACTCATATTTTATATTTTTTTTATAAACATCAGGAACTAATGCTGATAATATCATATGTGTTATCACAGCTGTTAAGCCCCAAATTCTTTTCGTAGTTCCTAAATACACTGGAGTTTTATACACATGTGTTTTACCCCAACGAAACTGTGTTGTACGAAAATTTTTTGAATCACATAATTCCTTCAGGGTAGCTGTAAAAATCACAGAAACCTAAAAAATAATTTTAAATCTTTTTATGCAAGGTATTTTAATTTTAATAATAATAATAACCATGAGTCAAATAAAACTAAAATTTTATCAATACAAATTATAATTTTAGCGATTACTAACTTCATTTGAATTTATTTGTAAGCTAACAAGATTTAAGTCTTTAACGAAACCCAAATATGGTGTAATTACTAAATGTCTTCTATATATTTGTGGTCCTCGTTCCCATATATCAACAGTTTGTGGTGGTAAGCCAATTTCTTCATATGTTTCTCTTAAAGCTGTTTCTTTTAAAGATCTAAAAAAAAGTAATATTGTAATATTATTAATTAGGACATTCCATCATATTTTTTTTATTATTAAGATAAAAAATTGCCATTACAAATTTGCATACGAAATGAATTTTTACTAAATGTATTAAAGTTACCAACCCATCAGATTCTTCCCTAATGCCACCAGGAAACGCAACTTCACCTCCATTCAAATTTAGACTTAAAGCCCTGACTATATATAATAATGATAATTCATTATTAATTACACACATAGGAACTAAAACTGCTGCTTCTCTTTTACTACCTTTTATTCCCTTATTTATGGGATCAGATTTTCTTAATAAATTGATACAATTATTTTTGTTTAAATCAGATAATACATTATCTACCGAAAAAGAAGAGTTAAAAAATTTTTGGCAAAAACATGTATTTACGTAGTTTATTTTAATAGATGACTTTAAGAACATTATTTAAATAATTAAATTTTTAAAAAATTATTACAGCCACTATAATAGTTTTAATATTTTAAGTTTATTTAACATACATTAGTTATTTTTTACAACTGTCATTAAATTCCATTTGCAAATATTAATAATATGTAAGTCACAAAATATTTTTACGCATTGCGTGACCTTCAACTTTGCAGAGTTGGACAAAAGAGTCAAGGAATTGAGAGGATAAAATCAAAAATACAAAATACCGTCTAATGGTACTTTTAAATAAGATATAACTAATTTAGCCATAATATATATTTTATTTAACAAAAAAAAAAAAAAAAGAAAAAGGTTAAAATTTTTAATTTTACAAAATGAAATATGAATATACTAGACTATGTAAAAACTGCTTTCCTTTGAAAAAAAAAAAACGTTGTTGGCAACATTGTAAGATGGCAGCACTGTTGACCTGAATTTGTAATACGTTGTGTTTCACAAGTTCGCCATCCATGTTACAGTTAGGAAAGTAGCTTGTTTTGTGTAAAGGACGCCTTGATGATCCGCCATTATGTAGAATAGTTATGTGCGTGGAAAGTTAATAAAATTACTGTGTATTATTTCAGTGTTATATTTTTTTGTTTAATTTTTTTATTAAATAATTTTGTGTAAAAATGTGTTTGAAGTGAATATATAGTGTTTACAGAAATGTAAAAAAAAGCGTCGCAGATGAAGTGTTCACAGCAAGATGGTTAGGGAGACTCGCCATCTTTGGGTTGGGAATTTACCGGAAAATATCCGGGAAGACAGAATACGAGAACACTTTAAACGGTATGATTTTCACATTATATTTATATAAATACTTTATATATATATATACATATAAATAATTCTTAAAAATTTACTTACCACTCCCTGTAGTATTAAATGTTGAGACACGCAGGCTTAAAATTAAGCTATATGTAATAACGTACGCTTGGTGTTACATTATAATATGTATGCTCATACAGGCATATAAATTTTTCTTTCTGGTAATCAATTTTATAAATTTACAGAGCCCAAAAAAAAAAAAAAAATTATTATTAATTTACAAAACAAGTATTTTATATTATATTATATTAAATAGCCCGATTATTATTTTAAATTATTTAACGATGCTTGCATGAATAATATTAAATTTAAATAAAAAAAATAGAAACTCTTTAGTATTGCCGTACCTTTTTTTTTCTCTCTCTCTCTCTCCCCAAAACTATGTGTAGATAATTGAAGAAAGACCCTTTGAATTATTATATTTTATGGTGAAAGTTGCATTGGTATAGTTAAACCTAATACTAGCTTGTAAGTCTAAAAAAAAAAAAAAATGGATTGAATGTTGAATATAAACGGCCTCCTTTTTTTTTTTTTTTAATTCAATTTAAATTTTTTTATTCAGTAAATAAAAAAAGAGTATTATTATCTTATAAAAAATAACTTATCAGTACATTCTGTAAATTTTTTTTTTTTTAAATAAGTTTCTTGACTTAAAGACCTATGAACTTGCAACTAAATTAGACTGCATCAATACTTTAAAAAGTGTAAATGTAGAAAAACTTTTACATTGACATAACAAGTATTAGGGTTACATGATTTATATATATATATTAAAACGAAAAAAATTAATAACAATTTTAATAAGAAAATAATAATAATAATAATAATAATAATGTTTTTTTTCTTCTTCACACATTTAATCTTGAGACGTAATTTTTTTTTTTTTTTACATTAAAATGATAAAGTATCGATTTTTCTAGATAAAATGTATAGTTTTATGTTGAAGAAAAAGTTCAAAAAGTGATAATTTTCTTATATATATATATGTGTACTGTAAATCATTTTGAATTTGGTATAATAAAATAGACTTGAGATAAATATTAATTTTGAAAAAATTTTCTTTTCTGTATTAATTTGGGATTGACATATATATATTTTATATTATTTAAATTCTGATTGTGAAAATAATGTTCGATTGTAGAAAATAAAATCCACGTTGTAATAAAAGTCATTTTTAAAAGTTTAACAATATTTTTTCTTTTTTTTTTTTTTCAACAAGTAAAATTGTATGTTAAACTAATTATTGACGTTTTCTCTCGATGCAATAATAGCTTTTAAAAAAAAAAAATCACAATAATTAAGTACATCGACCTTATGAAAAAAAATTAGAGATCTTTTTGTCGAAACAGTGAAATTTCGATTTAAAAAAATATAAAAAAAAAATGTAAAAAAGAAAAGAAAAGAGAGAAAAGAAAAAAATAACGAGTCGAAATAGTAAAAGCAAGGAGTCCTGGTTTCGACACTGACGTTGGAGGCCTGGTTAAGTTGGTGTATTTATTTTTATTATTCCAAGCAGAGACTGTACAAACATCCTGGTTTTGATGACGTGATGCAATCGACAGAGTTGCCAAGTTTATTTCTTTTTTTTTCGATTATCATCTGGCTGGCAGACGTTTGTGATTATATTCCGACTACATTTTATTTTTATTTAACGAATAGGACACATACATACACATATATATATATAAATTCACAATTTAATATGTGGCAAAACTTATTTATTTAAATAAGTTATTTATTTATTTTTTAAAAAAAAAAAGAGAGAGAGAAATATAGCATTTTTTTTTTTACTAATATTAAATGAATATCAAATACTCGAGAGATATTATTAGTCTCTTGTTTTTAATAAATTTTTTTGAGGCTTTTTATTTTAAATAAATGATAAACAATTTTAATTTTAATTATTAATGAAAAAATTTTATTTTATTCAAAAAAAAAAAAAAAAAAAAAAAATCGGTGCATTATTTGAAAGCGGTTAATATTCATATTGGCGTGATTTTTTCTTTTATTAAATAAAAATTTATGTTTAGTTTTTTTTTTTTTTTCTAAAGCATTATTTATTGGCATCGAAAAGGTAATTTTATTTTTAGATACCAAGCTGTGCTTTAGTTGTTTCACGTAGGCAATTATTTAGAAACGAAAATTTGTATAGATATATATATATGTATATACAAGGGAAGGTATATTTTGCGGTTTCTATTGATTGTTCGTTCGTTTTTTTTTTTTTTTTTTTTTGTCTATTCTTTTCTTTTTTTTCCTTTTTCATTTCTTTCTTTTTTTAATCCTTTATTCCCGGCCAAGTTTTTTTTTTTTTTTTTTTTTTTTTTTTTATTGTGAACAACAAACGCATTATACGAAGTAAAAAAAGAAGAAAGAATTAGAATCATTAAAAGCAGATTTTAAATGGTTATAAATTTGACAACGTCGCTCAAAAAAAGGCAACGTTTACTTTGCTATGTGGAACCCTCAAGTTTTTTTTTTTCTTTCTCTCTCTCTGTCTCTCTCTCTCTCCTTTTTTAAATTATAATCCCCGAAAAAAAAAAAAGGAAAGGAAAAAAAAAATTTCCCCTATTTTTAATCCATAGAATGGTAAGGGCTGCTCGGATGTCTGTAATAAGGGACTTTAAGGTTCCCCTATGTTTAACTTTTGCGAAGAGCGTGTTTATTTATAAACGGGCGTAACTAGTACGAAACGATAGTTTGAGGAAAAAGCAATGTAAGATGAATTTTAATTTCTGTATTTAACCAAATGTAAATTTTATATATTTAAGTTTCCGAGTTTTTGGTTCGCTGCAGGCGATCGATTGCGTGACGTACCTATAAAAAAGGAGAGAGAGAGAGAAAGAGAGAGAAAAAAAAACAGGTCGGCTTCCAAAACTAGTTTTTTTTTTTTTCTTTTTTTTTTTGCTTCGTTTTTTTTTTTTTTTTTTTTTTTTTTGG